AAGACAAAAAAAATCACTCTGCAATGAATTTTTTTACACTTTCTAGAATGCATTTTTATGTTCCTTTTACCTTTTGGTTTGGATGACCTAGGTGCAGGGAGTTCAGAATTCAGCTTCCTTTTTTGCAGGAGAGGGGTTGGGTGGGGACTGGATCTTGCTCTGTTGCTTAGGCTGAGTGCACTGGCACAGACACGACTTATTGTATGTAGCCTCAACCTCCTGGGCTCAGGTAATCCTCCCACCTCAGCCTCGTAAGTAGCTGGGACCACAGGTGCACATCACCATGCCCAGCTAGTTTTTGAATTTTTTGTAGAGACAGGATCTCACCATGTTGCCCAGGCTGGTCTCAAACTCCTGGACTGAAGTGATCCTCCCACCCTGGCTTCCCAAAGTGCTGGGATGACAGGCATGAGCCACTGTGCCTGGCAACAATTCTGCTTTCCGATAATTCACAAACATGGTCAATGAACAGTCACCAGGTTCAAAATATCTTATGTCTAAACAGAGGTTTTGGCTTCAAATGGGTATAGTAAAAGCCATTTTCCCTTCCTGAGGTTGAGTGATTCCCTTTACCACTTCTGCAAGAAGCGGGGGCAGCCAAGCAGGCAGGTACTAATGCTCCTGTATCTAGTAACCATTAGATGTTGGTACAGGGGATACAGGAAGTGGGGATGCCCACTGCTTTGGCTTTGGGGGTCTTGGTCAATTATCCATCAAGTTTTGCAGTGCTAAGCCACCTTTCTTTCTCTAGAGTCCATTGCTTCTTGACCCCAAGGAGGAAAGTATGAGTGGGGTTGATGTATAACTGCACAGGGCTTGGGGCTCCCTGACACTGTGTTCGTGTGTGAAAGATACCCACATGAAGCTGCAGAATTTTTCCTACCCTCCTACTCCTAACAGATTCAGCCCCTCCCGAGGAGCTGGGTACAATTTCCACCAGGAGTCATAGGTAAGTAATGGGAGCCCCAGGGACATGACATCTCTTTTAAAGAATTCTGAAAATAAAAGTTTTTCAGGTAGAAAATATACAATATCTCATGAACCGGCAGTTTGAGAGAACTTCCCTAGTCAATTTTAAAAGACCCCGTCTCTAGACAGACAGACCTCTAGACAGACTATTTATTTATTGTACACATGATCATAAAGAGCATATTCTGAAGCTGAACATAGTTTTTGGTCTACTGTAAAAGTGATAAATTATATTTAGGGGAGTATGCTTAGAACTATATGTTTATATAATTGGTTCTCAAATTGCGAAATAAATGTACTCATTATTAAACTTTTAGAATGCAAACTTACACCCCAGCTTTCTTGCCTCTCCTACTTTATTCCTTCATTTCGTTTATTATTACTAACTTTACATTATACGTGTGTTTATTATCTGGCTTCCCTACCTGGCAAGTTAGTGCCATGAGGGTAGACTTTATTTTGTTCGTTGTTTTAATTCCTGGTTTCTGACATAGAAAAGGCATATATTAGGCAATCAAATACATGCTGAATGAATATATGAATACTTTGACTCTTAAAAATTTAAGAAAGAGCCGGG